AAAGCGTGACGGAAAATCTTGTCAGGAATATCCCAAAATAATAATCCGGTGCCGGAAAGTCATGATAAAATTCAGTGTTGCCAATTTTAAATTTATATCATCCAAGCTATTTGCTATCTTCAGTTTAGTTAAAGAAGCGAGTTTATCATATATATATGACGTTAAACTCACAATAATACGTTTTATTTTTAAAGTCATTTAATAATATTCATGAAACGTGTTTATTTTAGGCAACCTCATCTTTGTTTTTATGTCATTACAGTACCTTATACGGTGCGATTAAAATAACTAATGGATAACAGACATCTTTCATATCATGATCATTTCCCATTTGGTCGACATTTCATCAAACTTAGGGTAAATATTTGACTAGCTAGAGCCTTTGTTACTGGGAGACTTAAGGGTTTAAACGACGGAGAGTAGCGACTCTCAAAGAGCTTCCAAGCTGATTAATTCGTTTGCCCTAACGCTTTGCTCTTTGACAAAGACTGACCAATCACGGCGCTTGAACACCACAAAGTAGTGCCTTACACTCCCAGAGCATAGGTTTTTATGCTTGCAAGCATAATGGCTGATGTTCAAAAGAATTTCAATCGTTTACAGCAAGAATTAAAAGATCGTTCACTGAGTACTACAATAGTGGAGTCAGGGATACTAACCATCATCGTGTTAGTAACATTGCTTGGTAATGTTCTGGTGTGTCGTGCTGTTTATCAAAGTCCAAGGCTTCGTACCATTACTAACTACAGTGTGGTGGTCCTTGCACTTACTGATATCTCCATGGCGGTGTTTGTCTTGCCTTTGGTACTGGTTGTGTCCATTTTGAACAAAACACCTTTTGGCCACTTGTTTTGCCAGATTGAGGCATACACTGCGACATCCCTTGTATACAACTCGGTTTTAACGATAACATTCATGTCAGTGAACCGTTACTTCAAGATTGTCAGAAGTGACCAGCTTTATCGTAAGATTTTCACTCGTAGGAAGACGATGCTGATGCTGTTAGTGATCATCATTGTAGCTTGGCTTGGACCCATGAATGCACCTTTACAAGGGCAAAAATTTCAGTTTCATCCTGGAAAAATGATTTGTCTTTACAGCTACAAACAACAATCTCAAGCCAACTTTGCTCTGTTGACCTTCTTCTTCTTCACTTTACCGTACTGCATAACCATCTTTTGTTACTGCAGCATATACATCAAGGTGCGATCACATAACAAGAGGATAGCCAACGCTGCACCGAGTACAACCAACAACACAACGACAACAACTATCAACAGAAAGGATATTAACATCACCAAAACACTATTCGCTATTTTCTTGGTTTTCACGCTTTGTATGATGCAGCTGGCAGTAGTGGATACGACAGAATTTTACAATGGAGAGTACAAGCTCCCTCGGCAAGTCTATGTTCTGTACACATTGATGTGTGGTTTGGCAAGTGCAGTCAATCCTTTTATTTATGGGCTGTTTAGTCCAGCCTTTAGATCTGAGTATAAACGTAGCCTGTGTCTAACGACAGTGAGCTCAAACGACGAAGCGAGTACAAGCAGTAACTAGTAACAAAACCCGCAAGCCAGTATATTCCCAGATCAGGAGCCCATTATTAGGAGCATCCATCTCCCATACTGGGTCTGTGAGCCAGCATATTCCCAGATCAAGAGCCCATTATTAGGAGCATCCATCTCCCATACTGGATCTGTGAGTAAGCATATTCCCACATCAGGAGCCCATTACTAGGAGCATCCATCTCCCATACTGGATCTG